TCGCTATACAAATATACACACGTACACAGGTCGGTCGGTGTGTGAGTGCAGCGTAAAGGAGTATTGCGGTACCGAGCGCATGTACTATTAATGTACGTTCTCGGCCAAAACAAACAGAATTATATATAATAATTACACGTAGTTTTTTTCTAATATTATAATTTAATAAATAATATTATAATGCATTAAATTTTAGTGGTGAAATACTGTTATGGTGTATATAAACTTCAAATTTATCCAGCTCAAGGCCGYCCCRTTAGATTACGGCTAAAATAGAAAATTGTACTGTGTAATAATTCCATTTGATTTCAATATTATAAAAAAAATACATTGGTATTCAGTAATAAATTATACAGACTAAGCTATGTTGAACGTTCGTCTCATTTCTAAATGACAATAACCCATTCACTTGAATACAAGCCGCTTTTGTATTAGATTTTTAATTAGAAAGCGACAATAAATAATATATTCTATGGAGAGTTTGTTTTAGTTTAATATAATATATATTAACAGATTATACTGTAAGTATAGGTATGTTTGTAATCCATGATAAATTAACTAAAATGGGAACAATTGCAAATTATCCAGCACAGTTGTATCCATTGAAATTATTCAAAATTGAATACAAAATAATAAGTATTAATAGAATACCTACTTACTCAGTGAAACGCTGTATTAAAAATATCAATAGTTTTGTTTATTGTTATAATTTTCTATTCGTATGAATGCCTGATTGGTAYGAATTAATTAGGATTAACGAATGTGTATATTGATTATTGTTTTCATCAATATTTTATACATAATACGTTATACTTATACGTACCTAATTAAATTATAAACGMAAATAAAAATAAATTATGAATTAATATTTCTTAGATCTTATTTTAAAAAAAAAATTGTTTGTAGCATGATTACACGTGCATCAGAATTAATCATATCTAAACACATAAATTCTTAAAACCTAAATGTTAAAATAAAAATAAATTTTAAAAAGTATTTTTTTAATCATAAAATTCTTAATTTGTTATTCGTTATTAAGCATTAAGAACTATATGAAAAAGAATGGTTGATTAAAAAMGTCTTAACCTGTAGATACTATCGTTATCCGTATATTTCATCCGATCTTTAATGCTAAAAATTATAACTTCGTAAATTTTTAAATATGTTGGTTTAAAATTGACGAACATTATGAGTTAAATGGTTATTGAATTACATATTTATTTTCTTTGACAAAATGTTTAGCCAAATTGTTGAAGTCGTTCACTATTTTCTGGAAAACTACTTGGTAATTATTGAAATAACATCCATAAAGCATAAAATATATTCTTCAAATTCTAACCCTAAGGTGAGGTCTATATGATACTCCGCACTAATATCTATTTTATCTGAAAAAGTAATAACTCAATATCAGATTTAYTCTATAAAACTGTGAGAAATCACATAAAATAAAGCAAGGAAGTATTAAAAATCTAAGGTTAGTTTTCGTTTTGACCCCTTTTATATTATAATATATAGTTGTGCGTGTTCGTTTGTAATAACATTAGGCACATATACATCGTTAAATATATTTTTCATCTATAGGATCTATAAAGGAATAAAAAATTCTTCACACGCTTCGTAAAAAACGTGTATACCATACYATACAGAATACAGTACATTTAACTGTAAATCAGACCTAATTAATGCGATCAATTTTAGAATGTTTCTGTTTGTATACAAAATATAAAAATACGCATTTGGAACGTTGAAGTGGGATAGCGATCAGTGGATTTCCTTTAATTTTAATTATGTTATCTTAATTCTTAACTATCAAATACCTATCTATTTTGAATATTTTACGTTKAGAAACCATTTTTAACGAATACCTAACAGAAATTCAGAAATTATATTCTTTAAATGTTAAACTGTATAACTCCTACATGTACATAAATCATCAGAAGTATAATTTTAAACAAAATACAAACTATCTATAGTTTAATATTAAGGCTGTTTATCCTATCGTCTCCACATCTACATTAGATGTTTCACATCAAAAAAAATTTTTGTTTGTTTTTATTATAAATTTAAATTCTTAATGATTYTTAWTAGTTTTGTAGTTTCTTAATATTACTCATATCAACATTTTTTTTTTAAGTTGTTTTATTTTCCAAATTATTTTAACTGATTATCATTAAAAATAATCATAATCATAATGGTCCTAATTTACTCGCCTGATCTATGTTTTAACACTCACATAAATGCAATAATTAATAGAGGACTTAAAGTCCTCGGGTTCATCATACGTAATACTAAATTATTTAAATCAGTTGGATGCCATGTTCTTTATACTATACCCTTGTCTGTTCTTTTATAGAATTTGGATCTGTAGTCTGGCAACCGTATTTAGTCAAAGACCAGATACGTCTTGTACCCGYCCAAAATAAATTTCTTAACTTTATTGCCTTCAAAATGAAAATTTATCACGAAAATCATGATTATTCCAACATAAGGCAAGTTTTGAACATCCCAACAGACTTAGACTTTCYAAACTCAATTCTAAATAGTTCTTTGGACGTTCCTAATCTCCTTGTAGCCATCCCATTCAGAGTTCCTTCTCATTCTTCCAGAAACCAATCACAATTTCATGTCCCAACCCATAAGACCTCTTTATGGGCACAACCAAATTCTACATCWCATGCTCAGAACTGCAAACAACCAATAATCCTTAGGCCACCAATTATACTTCTATACCTTTATAATTATACTATTTATCTATATTATAACATGTATAGTGTATACTCTGAGTTATTTATACTTTTATCTAAATTATTTATGTATTCTACCTTATACTGTACTTACGTATACCATATTTGTAATATACTATGTAAAATTGCCGTTTCGGCGTTTAATAAACAATAATAATAATAATAATAATTACTGCAATTGATATAACATTAATATTTTACATAAATATAATTTTCAAAAGTCTTATAAATAAAAATATACTCACAAACAATATGAGTCGTAATTATATTCAGGTAGCTATATAATAGTTTAATTTAGATACTGAGTGAACCGCATCAATACTTCCGATGAATGTATTGATTTTACAATGWATGTTTTTTGTGTTTATGTTTACACGATCACAATAAATCAAAATATTGTTGAGTTATTTATAGGAATAAGAAAATTAAAATTTTCACCCAGTCAACGTAAGTACTTAAATTTTGTACAAGGTTTTTCTCGTAAGTTGTTGTTATAATAGAATTTAAAAAAGTTGAGCGTAAACCCGCAATAATTTATATGAGCATCTGAAGTTATTATTATTAATTTTTAAATTATTATTTAAAACATCTAAAATTTTAAAAATTTWAAAAAAATTTTAAAAAAAAATCTCAAATTCGTCAAAATCACGAACATTTCCAACTTATTTTGAATTAGAAATTTATTTAAAAAAATGTTATTTATATATTATATAGATTTAAGATTATAGTACAAAATTCCTCGCATAACATATAATAGTAGAAAGTCTGAAATTCAGATGCTCATAAAAACTCGTAGAATCTACTATTGATATATTATCAAGCATATTGATATTATCGTTGATTATAAATACTAGTATTTAATATTTATGAAAAAATGAGGCGTCTAACAGTTATGATAGGCATTATAATATATATTTTCATGTTTCATTGAGGTCATTTTCTTTCAAAAAATATGTTTGGAACATATTAGAGTCATTAGACGATGTACAATATTTTAATTCAATATTACAATATATATTATGTATTGATTTCATTATTTAATATTATAGGGACATATTAATATTGTATGAATATTTAAATCATCAACTCCTTTCAATTTGCAGTAATAACGATAAAAGCTTACAAAACTTTAAAAAAATGTCAACTAGATCGATGCAAATACGAAAATTTCACGTAGTGCACTATTACTTATAATTGTATATATTTTTAATGACCGAGTAAAATTACTAGCAAACTTATATCATATTTTAAATGTAAATATCTCAAAACCGTGAATTTAACTATTTGCTCTAGATGTGAAATACGATGTCTGCATCAATTATAATTAGTACTTGATAGTATTATGAAATATACTTTATCAACTATTATACATAATATACGACATTATTTGTATGCTTTAATTTTAGAATCAAAAGCACGAATCACCAATATAGAGGATAATGTTCCCAGCAGCCATCATAATCGTGGTATGTTGTACGGCAGTGGTACTATTCTTGTACAAGTATACGACATCCACGTACAAGTATTGGAATACGAAGTCGGTGACGTTTGCCACACCCGTACCACTATTCGGCAATATCAAAGACCATGTGATGCTAAAGATGACCCAGGGCGAATGCTTGAAAAATATTTACAAGTATGTAAATTATTGTATAATGCACGGCTTACTGTGCACAAGGCACAACCGTTGTAACACAAGTATGACGTTCGGTTCTGTCACCCAAGGAAATACTTATTTAAGGCTAATGATAAGTATGGCAGATAACTGCAGATTCTATATATTATTATTTAATAATGATGATTTTATACATAAACTGAAAACTGCAGAATACTTTCAGTATTTGAATCTGCCGATGACTTTTATACGGACAATCCAACATTATTAGCGTACCTAATATAGATATTCTTACTAGAAATTAATAACTTAATATTTTGTTTTCTACCTCAAACGTTTAAGTTACATGAAAATTATATTTTTTACTTTTTAGCTTAGTTATATACGAAATAAAATGTTAGCCATTATAGGTCATACCATACAATTCCATCATAATCATAAACAAATGTTTATCTTCCATCCAGTTATAATTTCAAACAAATATGGTAAAAATAAAGTCTTATGTGACCGGTATGAACACGTGCGGTAAGTCATAGGAAACCTATACAAATATTAAATACCATACCATATTAGAATATTACTTAAAAGTTAACAGTTATGAGTTATACGATATTATACTACATAATACCTATAAGGCTATAACGATACAATATGATACATACCTGTCTACAACCTATAGGCTATAATGGTCATTGATCAAGAATATTGCGGTGATATGTTACAGTGATTATCCTCGTGAAAAGTTTGTGGGCATGTACCAGTTACAGACGCCGACGCTGCTACTCCGCGATCCAGAAGTTATTCGGTTGTTTCTGGTGAAGAGCTTCGCACATTTCACGGACAGAGGATTCTTGTATGACGGTCACAGGGAACCGTTGACCAAACATTTAGTCAATTTAGAGGGTGATACGTGGAAGATTCTCCGACAAAAGCTCACGCCCACGTTCAGCTCTGGTAAAATCAAAAATATGTTAGGACTGTTACAAGGCTGCGGGGTGCAACTTATTGAGTACATGGATGTAAGTAGTGGTGGTAGAAGTGTAGATCTTATATTCAATAGGTATTATTTTTTTTTTTAAACCACAGTCATTTTTTTCAAAAAAGAAATCCGCTAATAATTGAATTATTATAACGATATTTTATGTACCCGTAGTATCCTATAGTAATTGTATACATTATTAGTATTTTATGTAAACTGATAAAAATAGTATAAGTATACGTATACCTAAAAAAATACTGAAGTTCATCACAGGAACAACACCACCTCCTGGCACTTACATTATATACCTAATAAATCAATTAAATCATTATATGATGCGTATTCCAATCTCTCTATAC